GTACTGACTCAAGTGTTGAAGAAGACTGCTTGAAAGTTGTACGAGTCCAAACAACGTTCCTCCCTGCGCATATCTCTTTCGGGCGTAGGGTGAATTTAAGAAAATTTACCAACCAGCCATTCAAATAGTTTATTGGAGCTGGGTACTCTATTCATTTTCCAGAAACTGAACATATGTTAGCATCAGCGGGCGACGTTATCGAAGCATTAATTGGTCTTTGAATTGGACTTCCTAATAATTTTGTTTCAATTTAAATCAAGTCAAACAAAGGGAGAGAACAAGATATACTACATGCTTGAATGGAGACTGAGAAGTTATCCACTGGCATACGGTGAATGAAATCTCTGAGTACTGCTAGAAAGCTAGGCATCGAAAAATCCTAGGCCAATACCCTTAAAGTTTACTCTGTACCACTATCTCAGATATAAAATTGGTCACTAGTAATTAGAAAAAAAAAAAAAGGGGGGGGGGGGGGAACCAAAAAAAGAGAAAATAATAAAAGTTAAAATTAGTTGTTGATCTATAGACGAGCATGACATGTACTGTCATCATCTTTCTTTTGCATGATACTTTTTGAAGGATACAGTTTTATATTATGTTTTTATAGCAACAATAACATTATATAATTTAATCTATTCTATTTTACAGAGAAGGAAAGCCTAAAGAGATTGTATAAGAGACTAACAGGTATATTTTTTCACCGCCGGTGAAGTTCGAACCGACTTACAACCAAAAGCAGTTTTGGCGCTTACAGCCAAAAGCTCTTTTTTTTTTTTTTTTTTTTATTCTAATCTAGGGGAGAAGGGAAGCCTACGGAGGCTGTGATAGGAGACTAGTGAGTATATAGACTCAACTAAATCAAGAAAATGCTCTGACACACCCTTAAATTTTTTTCACTACAATTGAAATTTGAACCTTTACCTATAACCTAAAAAGGAACTTAAGCCCCTCTCCGATCACCGCTGAGCCCTTACCCCGGTGGTTTTACAGCCAAAAGCTCAGTGGTTCAGTTTTATACTATCATGACAAAACGTCAAGCAAGTAGTCCCCAGCCTCGAGGCACTTGGCAATTGTGATTGGCTGATCCTTTTAATTTCAAATTTGCGGTCCTAGCATTTCCATTTGTATGAACAGAATTTTGACTTCTGAGTACGCTATTATGGAACAGCCATAATTATGGGACCCTACAACATTGACGGAGCTAAAGAAGAGAAGGGAAAAAGCAAAAGCAAAATGGGAAAGCACGAGGACAGCAAAACAAAATAAAGTAGTAGTAATACTTAGTTTTAATAAAGCCAATTATAACTATAATTGTTTTCTATTGTTTCTTGACTGCAAAGTACCGTCTTAAGCATCTGCATATTTCTAAACGAGAGGGCAAGAAAAAATTTATATAGTACCACTCTATAAGGGATGTCCTATCATATTCTGTAATCTGTTGAAAATTTCTTTCCAAGCCTCCAAACACCAAAATTTGAGTTGCTTAGAGAAATTTTACTATGAGGGAGCCACTATTAGCTCTTCCCTGGTCAAGGCTACGAAGCACTTTTAATTTACTAGTAATATCAAACCTGAATTGTTTTTTTTTTTTTTTTTTTTTTTCCCATTGAAAGAACATTCGGCTGAGTACAAGTTATCTAACTAAAACTGAGGGGTAAATCTATTAGTTCTAGAACCGGCATCCAACCAATCCACTTAGAATCTCAGAAACTTGCTAAAAGAATCCCACAACTACCAAAAAGAAACAGAACGAGAACCAACTAAGCCGAACTTTTATATTCTATGCTTCCTTCGCACGGTCTCTTCCATCTTAATAAATTCCAATCCTTGCGCACGCATCAATTCTTTCATGTAAACATTCCCAGAGAAAAAGTGATACAATACGATACGATTTTCCACTAGTGGCTGGACTGCTGCTTGCTGACTACTACTTTGCTTCGAATTGAAGCGACTGTACATCTTTTTTCCCAAATTTCGAACACAATTCAATTCCTAGAAGCTGTCCTTCATAGTTTACAGCTCACAGTCAAAGATTCGACTATGAATTTAGTGTCCCACACTGGTGTTAAATTCAGCAATGTAGAAAATGAGTTTCCATTCGCCGCGCCCTTACTATTGGGATTTGTAGATTTTTTTTTTTTTTTTTATAATTCACAGGTATTAATCATGTACTGTGATTAATTTTGTTCGACCCGAGTCGAGTCTCTTGCAGGAGAAATTTTCTCAACGTTATCCTTTTCATTCTCATAAATTTTGAATTCGAAATCTCATGATTAAGGGTTGCAAACACCTTTTGCTTGCAACAACATCCATTTGCACCCCTTTTGCTTTCACCAACTTGTAGATTTTTTTGGTACTCATTTTTTTTGACCCTCCGCACTAAAATAATTAGCCATGTATTTATTATCTTTGCTTCTGGAATAATTCCACACTCGCATACCTTCAAATCCCCGAGTCTTCGATTATTGTTAACTTATCCTTTTGTCTTGAATTGAGATCATTGAGTTGATAGGCACCTCAGAAAAAAAAAATCATAGAGTTGATGGACCCTCCGAAGAAAAATACAAATCAAGTGAAAAGAAATGATGGACCCTTGCATTTATATATTGGTCACCAATTTCGGCCAACTGCATTGTATGACCTCTTGAGAACCTTTTTGACTGCTTTACTCGTTTGTTTTTCAGGCATGGGCGAAGACTCCAAAGGCATCACACTCAATACACGAGTAATCCCTGTACGCACAACGACAGTGGTTGTGAAAGGTAGCCAACCAGTAGCAAAAGGATAAGACTTTCTAAGACAGAAGATAATACAAGTAAATCATTGAGAAGGAAATCATCATCGTTACGTGGTGAAATACGGGCCTGATTGGCAAAGTGAGTTTTTGCTAAATTTGTCTCACATCAATTTTTTAATAATTTTAATTACAATAATCTCAAAAAATTTCTCAAAAATTTTAAACTATACAATTCAAAATATTCAAAACACATAAAATTTTTTTTTCTTCTTTCTTCCACCTCAACCGACCACCACCTTTGACGCCGGCCAGACGACCACCTTTTTTTCTTTTTCTCTCCTCTTCCCTCCCTCTCATCCCTCCCCTCTCCTCCTCTCTCACCCTCTCCGTTCCTCTCCTCTGCCACCTATCTCTACCCCTCTTCCTCCCCACTATCTTCCTCCTCCCCTCTCCCTCTCTATCCCCCTTTGCTCAATCTGGTCGTGAGATCAGATCGCGTCGGGGGAAGGGGGATAGTGGCATGGGAAGGGGGGAAGAGGGAGAGAGAGAAAATGAAAAAAAAAAATTTCATCTTACAAATTTTTCCTACAACTACTACAAGAAGGTAAAATTTTAGACAAATATCCAAATACTCATTTATCAAACGGAGCCATGGTTCATGGATGATCTAAATATAATAATGATATCCATCCTAAATTTTTTTTTTCAGGAGAATCTAAATAGGCTTGTGTTAGAGACTAGACTAAAAGGGTGATTTGACACCACTTTTGATTTTTTTTAATTGCAGGTGTGATTTGAACCCCACTTATAACCCAAACAGATGAGATTTTTTCCCACTTTGGTGGCCACTGAGGTTGGCTCAGTGGTTAATATCCACCCCAAACAAGTAATATGGTATTCCCTCTTTGGTATGCCCCTCTTATGTTCTACACTATCTACAAAAGCATATAAAACCATCAATCTTCCGTCTATGACCAAATAATGAATAGTGAGTTTCTGGAAAAATTCACTTCCTTACCTTTCAGTTTTAATCCGCCTAATTCACTCCCACCAATCTTTGACAATCATTTGCTTCCAAAAAAAAAAAGATAATTATTGTGAATCCTGCAAACTAGTTCAAGCAAATTTGACGTCGAGCTCAAGTTTTACACTAAATTCTAATCGAATTTGATAAAATGAAACCGAGACTCAATTCAATTAAATGAAAATTCGACGGGAGTCGACTCGTTGGAAACTACTTTGACAATCATTGTCGATTTTATCATATTATTGCTAACTTTCTCATCTCCACATGGAAATTTTTAGTACACTAAATGCCATCTATGACCAGCCCTTCACATGTGAACAGAATACAAAGTATCGATGTAGTCTATCAAGATATTTTGACCTTAGTCTATCAAGATTCACCATAAATTAAGAATCCTAAGTCAAGAATGAGTAGACTAATTAGCTCACGCTACCTCCACCCCCTTCCAGCGGTTCTCCCAATCTGCCTGCACTGTTACTCTGTCCATGGCCATGCACTACTTGCCAGTTGCCTGCTGCTGTCTTTCAAATCCAATGGCTAAATACAAATCATGAATAATTCTCATTTTCACGATTTCATCATCGAATTAGCCCATCATTTCCTCAAACTCAATTTTCTTTAGATAGATTGCATTATACATTCTAGTAGTTGCGGTTTGCGGGGTGGTAGTTTAATTAACAGAAGAAAATGGCCGGTACTATGTGCTTTTGCTTTACTGCAGACCTCTGCCCCTCTATCTCTATCTCATCAAACTGCTTTTCTGCATTGCTCTGATAATTCCTGGTACCAGTTCATCGAACAGGGACGTCGTCGTTTTGCTTCGAGTCAAGGCCAATGAACTGCAAGACCCCAGTGGTCTTCTCGCTGATTGGCAGCAGTCCGCACCCAATGCTCCCTGCAACTGGACTGGCATTGGTTGTGACAACCAAACTAACGATGTCGTTTCCGTTAATCTCACCAGCTCAGCATCTCAGGCTATTTTCCGGCGGACTTTTGCCGGATTCAGACTCTCCGCTTTCTGGACCTTTCCGATAACAACTTCAACGGAACCCTCTCACCTGAAGCGCTCACTCTCTGCTCCCACCTGCAATTCCTCAATCTGTCCTCCAACTTGTTCGTTGGCGGGCTGCCGGAGCTTCAAACTCAGTTCCTCAACCTCACCACCTTCGACCTGTCAGTAACAATTTCTCCGGTGAGATTCCGGCGAGTTACGGTTCCCGCTTACCCAACCTTCAGGTCTCTCCGTCTTCTCTCCAACTTACTCAACGGGTCTATCCCGGATTTCTTAACCAATCTCACCGAGTTAACTCGTCTAGAAATCGCTGCCAACAATTTCGGCCCAAGCCCACTTCCGGCCGACATAGGCCGCCTCACCAAACTCGAAAATCTCTGGTTTCCATTTTCAAATATAATTGGTTCAATCCCAGACTCAATTGGAAACCTCAAATCTCTTAAAAACCTCGACCTCTCCGTCAACAACCTCACTGGAAAGATCCCAGAAAGTATCGGAGGACTAATTGCTGTCGAACAGATAGAGCTCTATTCAAACCAACTCTCCGGTGAAATTCCAGATACATTTTCGAACCTGACTTCTTATATAATTTCGATGCTTCATCGAACAATCTCACCGGAAGAATACCAGAAAGTCTAACCGGTTTAGCTCTGCAATCCTTCAATCTCAATGACAACAATTTGGAAGGCCAAATCCCAGAAAATTTAGCTCTAAATCCTTATCTTTATCAGCTCAAGCTCTTTAATAACAGATTATCCGGCAATTTACCGGTTAATTTGGGAAGGAATTCAGGCTTGGAAGATTTTGATGTATCTGGGAATTTTCTAGAAGGGCCTTTGCCTCCAAATCTTTGTTTCAAGAAGCAGCTAGACAGATTAGTTTTGTTTAACAATAACTTTTCTGGTCCAATCCCTGAGTCGTATGGTGAGTGCAGTTCGTTAACGTACGTCCGGATTTCAGTAATGAGCTGTCTGGAGTTGTACCTCCTAGTTTCTGGAGTTTTCCTGGGCTTACGATTTTTGAACTCCGAAACAATAGACTAGAGGGTGAAATTCCTCCTACGGTTTCAAATGCCCGTAATCTAACAGGATTTTTGATATCGGGCAACAGCTTTTCTGGCAGTTGCCGGAGGGAATATGCGAGTTGGAACAGCTTCAAATTATAGACATTAGCAGCAACCGGTTCTCAGGCAAACTGCCCTCGTGCATACCAAATTGAACAAGTTACTCAAGCTTGATGTCCAAGAAAACTCAATCACAGGTGAAATCCCGACCTCTGTTACCACTTGGACTGATTTAACAGAATTGAACTTATCTGGCAATCAATTTTCTGGTACAATTCCAGCTGAGCTCGGGGAGTTGCCTGATTTGACATACTTAGATCTTTCCGAGAATTTACTTTCTGGTGAGATTCCTCGGATTTGTCAAAACTCAAGCTCAATATGTTCAATTTATCAAATAATAGGCTTCAGGGCAGAGTACCTAGTGCATTCGACAATGAAATTTTCATTTCAAGCTTAGTGGGCAATTCGGATTTGTGCAGTCCTGATCTTAAACCTCTCCCTTCATGCCAGAAAAGAAGACCCATAAGCTTGGTTTTGGTGGGAATTTTATCAGCCTTGTCAGGAATACTCGTCGTATCATTTCTATGGCTATTGATCAAGTCAAAGAAGCTAAATTTATTTGCAGGTCGGGGCAAAAAATCATGGAAAATGACTGCATTTCAGCGACTGTGGTTCAACGAGGAAGATATTGTTGCCTTTCTGAGTCAAGATAATCTCATTGCAACAGGCGGGTCGGGCCAAGTTTATCGTGTCATGTTGAAGAACGGGCCGACAGTCGCAGTCAAGAGACTCTGGGATGCTAACGTGGACCAGAATCTGAAGAGGTGTTCCAATCAGAGGTGGAGACTTTGGGCAGAATCAAGCATGGTTGCATAGTGAAGTTGTTGTTCAGTTGCTCTGGAGACAACTTTAGGATATTAGTGTACGATTACATGGAGAATGGGAGCTTGGGGATGTACTACACGGAGAGAAAGGTGGGGTATTGTTGGATTGGCATACGAGGTTCAAGATTGCAATTGGGGCTGCTCAAGGACTGGCCTATTTGCACCATGATTGCGTACCCGCAATTGTTCATAGGGATGTGAAGTCTAACAACATTATTGTTGGATGAGGAATTCAGGCCAAAGGTCGCTGATTTTGGTTTGGCAAAAACTCTGCATAAAAATATGGAGGAGGGCGGCCAACTCATGTCTCAGATTGCTGGCTCCTACGGCTATATTGCTCCAGGTGAGGCATAACTTTTCTGTCTATATTATGGCCTTTTATTTGTAGTAATTATCAATTGTTTCATTCATTAATATGATAGATTTGGCTTAATGTAATTCTTTTTAGTTTCCCCTGCAGCAATTATGTTTTTATTAGGGTATTATGGGTGTAGAGTGGGGATGGCTATTCTTGATTTTGTTCCAGCAAGCAAGCGGCATATGGTGTTAGGCTCTCAGTTCTTAATTTGACTAGTTTTAGGCTTTGAGTTCTCCATTTGATTGGAATTGAGAGTTGCCTCATGTTTACGGATGGTTTTGTCACTTTGTCTTTGTTGCGACATCGCTTCAAATCATTGCATGTACTTGTCTGTGGCCAAAAGCGAATTTGACTGCAAGACCAAAAAAAGAGACACAGGAGCTTGGAGATATCTAGTTTCTGTTCCAAGGACAACAAATAGTAAGATACAATTGTATAATACAAAAACAAAGATTAAAAATTCTCTATTCACCCGTAATCGTGATTACACATAAACAATTGCTCCAGTTGGAAAATCGCATGAGGGAACTAGTCTATGACTAAGATTGGTGGGAAGATAGTCTTATTCTAGCAACTTTAGCCCATTGTTTTGAAGTGGAAGATATGAATTGGCTTTGAACCAATTCTTGCTGAAAGAAAGTTGATTTTAGTTGAATTAGTAGCGACACTGAGCTTAGTTTGACCGGGGTTTAGTCAAGTTTTATTTGGTGTGTTTATCTCAAACCTCCTTTCTTTTGTCTTGAAGGCTTCAACTCCAACCAGTTAGAGTGACTGGGTTAAAAGCCATTTTTTATTTATTATAAAAATGTATGTTGAACTATATTTATCGAATGCCATTTTTTGTTATTAGCTTTCCTTCGCTGGACATGAACTTCTACTGAAGGGAGCAAGACCAGTTATATACTCTGATTATAGGTTTCAAGCTGTTTTTAGGTTTACTTGTGCTTGGAATGAAAGGAAAAGGAACACATCAAGTAGACATACTTCATCTTTGCCCTCGGGTGCATATTAGTTATTAAGGAGATTGTTAGAAATTAATGCTAGATTGCGATTAATGTAATCGTGATATTAATTCTCTCAAATTTAAAATGTTCTTTCCCTGATGTGATTATCTTTTGAGTCTGAAGCCATGGTGGCTAACTAACATGCTTTTGCTGTCTTCTTGTTTCTGCAGAATATGCATACACTCTGAAGATCACAGAGAAGAGTGATGTATACAGCTTTGGTGTGGTTCTGTTGGAACTGATTACTGGTAAACGGCCAATCGATCCCTCTTTTGGGAGAATAAAGATATCGTACAGTGGGTAATGGAGGTGGCATTGTCATCTGCAGAACAACCAATAGCCAACGATAGTGCCAAAATTTGTGCTGACTATTTGGATCACCTTGTAGATGCAAGGTTGAAACCATCAACATCTGAGCTTGAAGAGATTAGGGTGGTCTTAGACGTCGCCCTTCAGTGCGTTTCATCTCTTCCAATGAACAGGCCCTCCATGAGAAGAGTGGTAGAATTGCTCAAAGACAAATCCAGGGCCCGTTCTTAGTAATGTAGTATATAGCACATACAGTGTTGGTGTATCACTAAAAAGGAAAAAAAAAAAAAAAAAGAAGAAGAAGAATCATTGCGGTTTTGAATCTGGCCTCGGTATTGTTCTAGAATGTATAGACTGTGCCAATACCAACTGGATAGCACTAAGCAGATGCTTGACAATGTCTAAAAAGTCCTAGAAACTATTCAGTAGCAAGTGCTAAAAGTTGACTAGCTCTACTTCTGTACGCTGTGAATTAGAAAGGTAGATAGAAGCACTGAAAATTGTAATACTAGAAGATTCAGTACCAGAGTTGGATTGCTGTAAAATCTCTACTCTTTTGATCGAGACAAATGCATGTAGTAGTGCTAAAGCTGGGTATTTGTTCCACTCGCATTTTCGGCGCGGCTGTCTCTGCATGATGCTGTCACACTCTTTGATACGGTGCTTCGAAGGAATTCCATCTCCGTCTACCTTGGCAAGCATGTCGACAGGCATAGAGGTGTCTGGAATTCAGGCATGAACGATCCCAATTAATGGGTTGGTTGGCGAATCAAACTATTGATGACGGCTCAAAACAATATGAAGGAGTCATTTGAGGCAAGGCCCGCGGACCAGCGTTCCTAGAACTGACAGTTACCACAAAATAAACACATCCACTGCGGCAGGAGTTGGTAGCAGCCGGCCCCAAGTTTTGGCTAATGCTTTTTAACCCGAAGGACTTCTGGTAATTTCATTTACAGCCGCTATTTTGCCCCATCTAAAATCTTAGAAAATTTTCTTGATTTTATCAAGTGAATTGTTAAAATCATCTTGATGACTGAGAATTTGTTATAGAACTTTCTCCAACTGCAATCGTACTTAATAATAATGCATGAAGATTGAGCTAGAATCAGAGAGGTTTAACCGGAAACTAACTGGACAGGACAGGACAGGATGCCCCCATAGTCAACGACGTCTAGAAGCATGAATTAGGGAAATAGAAACGAGAGATCAGCTGAGGTGTCTATTGTTGCAGTATAACCTTCTTTATTGGTACAGAATATCGAATACATCTCATTATCGCTCCAATCTAATACGAATCAAGCCCACCTAAAGTTAGGATAAAATCCAGTGATAAAGCAGGCAGAGAGAAAAGAAAACAGACGTGATTCGTATTGTCAGTTTTATTTATGCAAAGGACTGCAGGCATAGCAGCACTTATGTGAACGTTCAGACCCACTGGGTAAAGTTGGGTATAGTCTAATCTAAAGTCAACCCAGCTAATTAAAAAAGCAAATTAAGAGAATTTTATCTGATAATCTCAACGAAGCATGTAAAGAAAAAAGAAAAAGAAAAAGAAGCACGAGTTTGTTTGGATAAGAGTTTATTTGGATGATTTATTTGAGATATTTACTGTAGCACTTTTTGTGATGTGATGTATGTGAGATAAAAAGGTGATTGGGATTTGTGAGAATAAATTTTGCAAATCAAATTATCTTTGTCCAAACAAACTCACAACGTTGCAAATCCAACCGCATCGACAGGCTTCAACAGTCCAAACTCCAACATTGGGATCAAAACCTTCAATGAAGGTTTAATTTGGTCTATCAGAGATGGGCATTTAGTCAGATTTTGGGGAGACAAATGGCTTCAATCAGGCTCTATCAGAAGCCAGATCCAAGGACCTCTAACTGAGGGGGAAGAGGACTTAAGAGTTTTTCAACTTTTTCACTCCCCACCAGTTGGAACCTTGATAGAATATCCTTCCAGCTTCCTCTCCAGCTCGTGAAGGAGATCAAGGGTACACCAAGACAAGAGCTCAATCCATCCCATGATTTCTTTAGGTGGAATTACTCCAGCAATGGGGTTTTCAACTCGAAATCTGCTTATAACCTTTGCAAAAATCCTCCCTTATTTCCAGTTGATTCTAGAGCTCCATCCCATTTTCGCTGGATTTGGAAAGTTAATACTCCTCAAAAGTCAAGCATTTCCTTTGGCTAGCATCCCAGGATAGACTCCCTTCAAAAAGTCTTCTCACACATCGCACAATTCTTTCCGAAGCCTCTTGCCCTTTTTGTCAAGCTCCTTCTGAAGATTCGAATCACATACTAAGATCTTGTCCCCAAGCAACCTCCTTCTGGCTTAAACTCACCCATCCTCCCAAAACTCCCTCCAAACCAGCTCGGATTTCTATTCCTGGATCAAGGATGGATGCTCGTCCAACATTCCTTCCCCTTTCAACCTTATTCCTTGGGGAACCATTTTTAGCTTTGGTTGTTGGAGCCTCTGGCAAGCTCGCAATGCCAAGATCTTTCAAAAAAACAAAATTGATGATCCTATCAAGTTTTGTCTTCACCATGCTCATGAATTTTACCTACTAGGGCCTGGTTCTCATATCTCCAGATCCCCTAGACAAGAAAAATTCATCAGATGGATCCCCCCCTGCTATAGGTTTCGCCAAGCTCAATACTGATGGTTCAGTCTCTGGACCAACAAACCAGGCAGGAGCTGGTGGCATAATTCGTGACTCAAATGGGATATGGATTGCGGGCTTTGCAAGAAATTTAGGCTTCTGTTCAGTTCCTTCTGCTGAATGTTGGGCTCTTAGAGAAGGCTTACAACTTGCGAAAAATCTCAACATCCACTCTCTCGAAGTGGAGATGGACTCTGCCTTTATATTCTCCTTGTGTAAGTCAAATAATCTTATTTCTCATGAACTTGCACCTATTATTCTTGATTGCAGGGAGCTATTGACTACATTCCAGAAAGTATGTTTTCACCATAATTATAGAGAAGCAAACAAATGTGCAGACATCCTTGCCAACTGGGGAAGAAGCAACACTCAAGACTTCACTTTTTTTGAATTATGTCCTAATTTTGTACTTCCCTTACTTTTGCAAGACTTAAAGGGGGTTTCCTCCCACGGATGACTGTACCTTAATTTGCACTCTGTTGACTTGATTTTATTTTTAATGCATCTTTATTTACCAAAAAAAAAAAAAAAAAGTCCAAACTCCAAAAGTTCACAAATGACTGACATTTCACCGAAATAATAAAAAATGAACGACTTTGCCATCCGAGTTAACGCTACTGCTTTGCTGAATTTTCTTCCTTCAACTGAAATTCTTCCTTAACATGAACTTTAGTGGAAAAAGCGAAAAGAAAAAGAAAAGCTTTAGTTTTCTTTTTCTTGGGTAGAAAGGCTTTAGTGTGACTTTGCAAGTGCCAGTAATATGTCCAGGACATTGAGAAGTTATATAACTGGGTGACTGGGAATTTGACAGCAGATAATATCATGGTTTGATCCTACACATTACTTAGTGAACTAGCCGAAGGAAGAAAAGTTACACCAAAAAAACCCACCCCCCCTCCCCCCCCCGGCTCTTATTTGGCTGCTCGGGTTTTGAAGAGGTCCCAGGTTTCAAGCCATGCGCTAATTGCAATGATTCTACTGAACATTGACCAGATATGGAAAAGGAAATTCATTGCACTTATTGCAATGATTCGGTGCAAGTTGCCAACAAAACGTGCGAATTAATGGGACTTTTACGTTGAAATTCGGCTAGCTCTCCTATCATCTTTCAGCTGTACGAACATGAGGTACTAGATAAGTTGGGGTCCTCTGCACCCCTGAAACAGGAAGAGAATTTATTCTTTCACGAAAATAATAGTGAAGAAAGTTACTTTGCTAGGGAAGCAAGCTAGCTCTAACTTGCGCATCATCTAATTCCGAAGCCTCTCATCTTTCATTTTCTGTCGCTATAAATAGACACTTGAAACAGACGATCATCAGCATATATACAAGAAAAAGACCAACTCAATAATTCCAAAGTGAGGTCTTACGTGAAGAAGCCTCGTGCTGTTTGGCCTTGGCGGCCACTTGACTAATATGTCTCTTTTTCTTCACGCAAGACCCCTTTTCCGTTGAGTTATCGGGGATCGTTATCAGTCAAGAGTGCACTTGTATACCTTTTCGATATAATTCGAGGTTAACATTTTATAGAAAGAAATGCCTGGAATGGGGCTGAGAGTCCTGTTTCGTAGCCAAGGATGGCTTGCCTCTTCATCCTTCAAGATCCATCCATGTACAAGTGTAAATTCTTCATTAATGGATTTGCAGGCGAGTCGTCCGGCTACTTGACAGGCTTTCCTCGTCATTCTTGGCATTCTCTTTCAGAATTTTTACTACCTGGCACCCTCCATCAAGCCGATTCGGTAATCCCCTCCTGGACTAAGAGAAAAAGAATCCATTGATGTTATAGGTTTTGGATAGATGAATATAAAGTTTTTTCTTTAACGATGAATATAAAGTTCTCGAGCGCTGAGTTAAAATATGGAAGTTTTCATTCTCTACCTGTAATTTTGTTTTGCGCTTTGGATCAGATTCTTGTAGTTATCAAATACATGCTCATTAATTTGTTCATCTTTTCTTTTTGGGGCGACTTCCTGAACTAGCTGTAATCAGGTTACCATATTTATATGAACGCTACGTCACGTACTCACGACCAACTTGCCAGATGATGATTGCATCGTTATTTTTTTGGGTTAATTTCACTTTCCACCTCTCAAGTAATGAGATGTACACATCGATCCCTAAATTTTAAAATTAAAAACTTGATCGCTAAAACATAAAATTTGTCCCACTTAAGCAAAATCGTTGAGAGAAATGGAACAAATTTTATATTTAATTGTATAGATTTTATAATTTAAGAAACTAAAGTGGACTGACTTTGTATTTAAAGAAATAAAATAGGATAGGTTTTCTTCTTTTGAACTAAAATGTGACAAATTTTATACTTTAGAGACTAAAGCATTCCATTTGAAGTTCAGGTATCAAAGTAAGAATTCGGGTATAGGCTTTTTTTTTTTTTTTAAAGAATTTGGGTATAGTTGAAGGATGCAAAATGGAATTAATCCTTGTTATTCTCTAAAGAGACAAATATGCTCTAGTCACAACAGTACATCACTCCTTGACAATGCTGAAACCTGGTACTTAGTTACTCTCTCTAAAGGCAGTGCCATTTTAATCTCATTGGCTTTCTTGAAGAAAAACTAGTGTACAAGTTTAGTTCTACAACATCAAAGCAAAAACTAGCCTGTATTTTTTCTTGTCCATAACCTTAAAAATACCTTAGTCGACGATTTTGATCAGCAAGACTCAAACTCTGACTTAATGGAATATCATTCCAAATCGAATAACATGAAAAACATGTGATCTGTTTTCCCGGAGAAAATCAATAAGCGTCTATTGCTCTTGTGTAAGTCTGACGAGGAATCAAGTAACCATCGGTTAAATTTATGACTTTTTGGTTGGCTTTTAGTACTCCTCTCCTAAGGCCTGAAGAAAATTCAGACATTGTGTACTAATTTATGAGGTGCTATGCCAAGGGATGACGAACTTTTTTCTGGCTTCT